GCTCGGCCCTCACCGCTGCGCTGACGTCACAGGCGGCCCACATCGCCTTCCAGCCACCGACCCAGACCGGTGTCATACAGGTGGGTAGGCTGTGCCGCTTGACAAGTAAGTGAAGCGGCACAGTCTACCGGTACCAGGCGGCTGCTGCCAATGCTGAGCCATAGGAACCCGGTGGATAAAGAGTTGTGGAACATCAATCTGCCCCCGAGTGTACCTGTCTCATACCTCTATTCTGTATATGAAAGAAGTTAGAGCCCACCAAGTTTTAAATTCATCCCTAGGGTGTGCCAGGGTGTGCCCAGCTGACTGCGGGTCCAAAGATGGAAATTTTGTAGGCGTATCCTGCGCAACTTAGTCAAAAGCGAATTGCAGAGGTAGTGTTTAATTTGCGCAAGCAACGGCTCATCCGTTTTGCGTTGGCAGCAAACCACTAATCATAGTTGTTATGAATATCCAAAAGCATTTATTCAGAACACAAGCCTGGTTTTTACAAACGGTTGAGGTGATCAAGGTCATTCAACGCATATTTGTTATTAACAGCTGGAAGTGTGCAAGGTTATTATCTTTCGTTGTCAGTCAGGGTGAGTTGTTGGGTTTGTGCCTTGATTTCGCATTTTTTTCATGGAAATTATGTATTATGTAGCAAACCCATAAGTTCTGTCTATATGGCGCTGCTAGGTATATCTGGTAATCTGGCTGTTAATTGTTGAGCATGAGTTGAGCATTTTTTCAAAGATGAAAGAATTCCAATTTACCTGGTTTTGGGGATGAAAATATTTTACCCATTAGGTGTGATTTTCCACCCAAAATTTTCAAAAATGGAACACTGCCTCGAGGTCAACCTTTGACCTCGACCTTTCGAGGTCAACATATATATCATTTGATGCGGATTAACGATGATGCCCTTAGTTTGTTCCTATCTTGACTAATTCGAAAGTTGTTCGAGAAAAACTATCTCCATATCTAGCACCACCGATTGGTTCTACAGGGTGTTCCAAAATTAATGTCACACCCTCCCACAACCTTTATTTTGCCTTCTACTGCGCAATATCAATATAATTTCACCGGTACTGGCTCCCAGACTATATTGGCTACATTCTAGTCACGTGACATTCGAATTTTTGTGACCCTGATCGGTCAAGGGGTGTACGGAGGTCATTTCCGGGGCAGTACCCAGCGCGCGCGGACCAGGTGTCCAGGATGGCGAAACTGCAGAGCAAATCGTCCCGCAACGGGGTAGTCGGCATGGTTGCCGGTGGCATGACCCACGGCCAGGTCGCCGAGGTACTGGGCACGAGTTGTCGCACGATTTGGCGCTGGTTATCACGCGACAGAAGCGGATAGACGCCTGGGAACAAGCTAGGTCGCGGCAGGAAGACTTCCGCCAGCCGGGTATAGCGCAGATCGTCATCGCGGAGTGCGGAGCTAAAGACGGGCTTATCCACAAGGAAACTGACAAGGAGGCTGATTGCCAACACTCATCCAGTCTTCAAATTGACAATCCATCGGTACCGGAGGATGTCTCTACAGCTGAAGCCCAACAAGCCACGTTTCCAGCCGAAACTTCCGCTGAACATGTCCAGGGCCATCTTTCAACAAGTCGGCGCCCCGGCTCATCGAGCTAGAACGACGAAGGACTGGTACAGATGAACTTCCCAGCATTCTGGGAGAAGGACCAATGGCCGGCGAATAGCCCCGACCTGTCGCTGATAGAAAATCTTTGAGTGATCGTCCTGTAAGAGGTGAGCAAAACGGCGCCAGGATAACCTGAACGCACGCTGACCAGGAACGTTCAATCTGTCTGGTCTAAGATCAGTCCAAAGAAGCTAGACATGTTGATGTCTGATGTCCCGGACCGTATGCTTGCCCGCACCAGGGAGAATGTGGGTTGCATATGTAAGAAAAGTGCGCCTCTCAAGTTTGTTATTTTCATGAAATTGATGCTGGAAAGGTGTGACATTATTTTTAGGACACCCTTTAAGTTGGCGCAGACCTCAGTACGTGCGCAGGTTAAACGGCACATCAGTCATGTTTGACTACAACAATTGTCGAAATCCTTTTATATTTCATATTTTGATATTATTAGGTCATAGGTAATTTTTATATAATTTACTAATCTTGAGCGTAGGTACTATACATACCTTCACCTAAGAGTAAAGCAAATGTGCTAACGGATGTACGTGCGTACGTGTAGCAGCATATCTTTCTTACTTACCCCTTCTAGGTAAGTAGGTAAGGTTAGTTCAGGTTTATTATGTTTTTTCTTTTATTAGCGAGACATATCACATATGAGTATCAGTTTTGCATTCAAGATGTCAAATAATGTAAAAATGTGAAAAAATTATCAATGAAATCTGAGGGCTGTTCACGGGCCCTGTGTGCGGTCGGACCGCACACAGCCTCCAAGCTCCGCCCACTGCGTCCCTACGTCAGCCTTCCGTCACCGCACACAGCGATCGCTGTGGCCGGTCGGGACTGGCCACAGCGGACCGTCCACCGCACGCAGCTGTGACGTCAGAACCGCCTACCCATCCCCTACCCCCACGCCTGCTGGACGCACCGCACACAGCGCACGCAGCAGTGTGCGGTGCCCGTGAACACCCCTCTGGTTAGGACTTTATCTCGACATTTACCCAGTTGACCAAATCTCTCCCTGCTGATAATGGCTTATCGGTTATCGGGTAACAGTAATGAGGCCACTAGGCCTGGTGGTCCCGATTCCATTGAGTATGTGTGGCAAGGTAAGAGCGAGGCTCTTAAAAATGGGCTTAATCATGGGCAATTTTGGCTCATGATTGCAGCAATATCAAGTTGTCATCAGGGTAGAAGAAAACTTTGATGCCATTGAAAACATTAGGACATCTACTTTATAATTGATTACATCACTCAACATTGAGGCAATCATGCTCCAGATTTGCCCATTATGAGTCGTCGGCACGATTGCGATGGCATTCAGTGACCGTGAAACATTGCTCCAGGACTTAGAGCGTGCAGCCTATACTACTGGTGGCGCACATTTAACCCCCACTAATGGCAACAAACTTCAGTTGTAAGGGTGTTGACAATTACACAAATGAAAGAAAATAGAGGCTTGCCTATTGCCAGCAAAATTTCATTTTTGGCATTATTCATGTCCGCCAAACGTTTCCTACGCATTTCTCAAGAAGCAGACTTGAACTTACCGCTGTGTGCCCAGTTATGAATCCAAAATTAAATCACACTGGACCTTTAAGCCAACAAATAATATTCAAAGACGACGGCCTTCGATCAAAAACGAAAAGATGTCACCAACTTTTGTCACCAACGGTCGTCAACAACTTGCAGCAGTTGATAAAAGATAGCTGCGCCACCTATACGATGATTTGGTTTAACTGATGAAACTATTTTGAATGGTACATTTATTTGTTAAAATTACTTTAATTTTTCTGTGATAATTACGAAAACAGACAGAAATCACTTAAATTTTTTAAATATATATCCATTGAAATAGGTGAAAAAAGTTACTTACTTTATTTTGAGATTTGGGGCTCGAGACATTTATGGACGACGTACTACAATTGTGAATCTAGCCAGTCATAGCCAGTAACTAGGGTTACCCGCGTGCTCCGCAACGCGAAGAAGGGTTATTTTTGACCAGTGGGTATTGGGTTGGTCTGTGTCGATTTGGTTGGTATCCATTTCGTTCGATTTCTTTTTGACGGCCAAGCATTTTGTAATAAAACAAAAAAGATACATCGCATCGAGGTGCCCGTGTCGTATTATCATGCGTTCTACTTTAGAATGATTCGAAAACTGGCGTGAAGTCTTTTGAGGGCCATCGATGAATTTCGCTAAAAATGACAATGTAATGGTTTGGAACATTTACATTTTTAAGGATACTGTTGCTAATCATGCAAAAATGAAGAGTGAATATTGGACAGAATTGAATGCTCTATCCAATGGTACCATATTCAATTGCCAAAGGTATCAGGTTATGCAGCAAACCCCGTGTGATTAACAAAGTGGCACAAAATTGACAAACACCATTTTCTCCTGTGATTTGCACCACCTTGATTTGGATCAATCAGCTTTTCACAATTTTTATATGAGAGGCGGTACCTTTCTCTTGCAAATAGGCGTTGATTCAACTCGCTCCATTTAACGGTCACCTAAAAATAAAATCAATTCCAAAATCCGCCCAAAACCGCAATTTTTCAACAAAAGTGCCCTCCCCGGTGCACGTGGTACGTGCCATCCACTGCATCGCACACCATTCAATTGCCCATTCAATTATCTACACGATCCTGTTTTCCCCGTGCCGGTCGGACCCCTGGTCACCAAGATATTGCGCCGGAACCGGACCAGTGTCGGCCAAAATTAGCCGTTTTCGCCCGATTTCGCACGCCGATTTATACATGTAAAGTCTATGACGCGAATTTGCACTTTTTGGGCACGCGCCACGCGCTCCCTATCGACCCGATCGAGCTGAGACCCCTCAAAGGCACGTCGCACATCCTTGATCTATGAGTTGTGCAAATTTCAGCGTGCTAGGTGCAACGGTCTGGCCTGTAGTCCACGCAAAGCAGCACCAAGTCGGGACCTCGGTAACGGACAGACGCACCCTCCTCAAATAGTAATATAGATGAATCAATCATAGTACAATCATACTTTATTTGAAGGTGTATAAAACGTTATTTGATCGATTTTATTTATGTGGTAGCCCCCAAGATTCTTACAGATAGCCCCAGAAGGGTATACCTGGGTATACCTTATACCTTATGCCTTGTACCTGCCTATTGTGGTATCCTCCCTAGTCCCTTCACCCACCTTCACCCAACCCAACATCACATGCATCACATCACATGCACATGCAACATGACGTGCTGATGCGCTGGGCCCCTTCAAGGTGCCTTCACCACCTTAGGATTTGTCCCTATCAGTTAGTTGATCTCAATCGAACCTGAATCTATGAACACCAATTCATTCAGCGTAGGTAGATCTACACTAAATTCATTTAGGTATAAAGGGTCTTGGTGTAGATTCACAAGTGACTCACAATACTCATCTATGATCTAAGCTAAGTGATATCTTTGTTTTCTAATTTGCTATCTAATAATCTAATTCTAATCTAAATAATCTAATTTTCTGAGTTTTAGCTCAAGCTTCTAATGCATTCTACAGAAAATATTTCATTGTATATGTTGAATATTATTTGGCCAAGTCATTGAACATGAGTTGCACTTTAGACAATGTCTGGTCTTGTCACCATTTTAACACTTGCAGATTTTTCAGGTTCCTGCAACAATGCTGTCTGCACTTAACAGAGCTCTTACTCAAGTTTGGCTCAGAACTCCCACCTCTCAAAGTGAGTAAGGACCTGTCTTTTTATTCAAGACTAAAAGAGTATATAGTTTTCATTTCTTCGTGCTCCCTTTTGGGCATTAGTAGAGCAGACGTCACACGAAGATTTCCAACCAAGGAGAGGTGCTGTAGGTTTGTAGGTTGTAACTTGTAGGGTAGGGTTGTAGGTTTGTAGGTTGTAGGTTGTAGGTTAGGTTAGGTCAGGTTAGTTTAGGTTTGTTTAGGTTTTGTTAGAAAGAAGTACCTCCAAGCATAGCGCCTCTCCTTAGTTGGAAAACCTTTGTGTGATGTCTGCTCTACTAATACCCACTTTTGTTTGTTTATTCAGGTTTTAGGATGTGCCAAGTGCAAGGTCATTTTGAGCCCATCTCCATTAAGGCATGCTTATTTCACAGTTGCTCATTTCACAGTCAGGCTAATCCTAGGCTACATATCAACTGGCTAGCAATTATGCATAAAAGGACACATCAGTGTAAAATCCATAGGAGTGTCCATAAGAGGACACTCCTTTCTTTATAACTATTTGTTATTCTAGCAAAACATTGGCTGCTGCACTCTTGCCAGCTAGGAAGTTCCCACTGGGTAGTGGTTGCAGATGCCTCCAGAGTAGTCAAGAGGCCACCCCCATCGTTTTAGAAGAATGTAGTGACCTAAAGTGTTGTATTATAAAACACAAGTTATGAGCTTCAATGGACAGCTAGGATTTCAGTGAAAAAAATGGGAATCATTGTTGTGACTTGTGGGATCATTATTGTGTTAATTGTGGCCTGTGGGATCATTGTGGGATCAAAAAATGTGATCATTATTGTGTGACTGTCGCTCTGTGGCGCAGATGGCGCGGTCCGCAGTCTGGCTACGGTCGGCGCTACCCAGCGGCTCCCGCCGCCGCCGCCGCCCGCGGTGAGCGCGCTCTGCCGGCTGCTGCCGCTGCGCGCGCCGCTGACCCCGCCTGTGGCGCCGCTGGCGCTCCGTCTGCCGCCGCTGGCGCCCTCCGTGCGGCCGCTGCCGCCGCCGCCCCTGCCCGAGCCCGCGCAGCCGCCGGCGCCCAGCGGCGACCGCGGCCGCAGGCAGGCGGCACGACTCGTGGTCATCCGCAGGCGCAAGATGCGGAAACACAAGCTGAAGAAGCTGAGGAAAAGGATGCGCTACGTCTGGGCCAAAGTGAAACTGCGAAGGTGAGTGATGACGTCTCCTGATTTATAGTTTTACTTTGTGGAGCCCCAGGATAGTCAGGTGCCACTATCCGAGACTAGCATTGGCATTCACGCTGCCAGCCCCAGATTCTGCCATTGTCACTTGTTTCCGCTTCGCCCCACCACACATCACCATCGTCGATTGATGCATGCTGCCGTGGTATCACTCGCCGCCATGCGCCCTCCCCCAGCTGATCCCCTCACTGACAATAGCAACGTTTCCATGACACAAGCTAAGCCGATTTTGCAAAATGGATTAGCTGCATCATAGCATTTCGGCGTCATTTGTAATTGTAAATATAGGATTGAGTGGTAGCTAAAACCATATATATATGCTCATTTTTGCATAAAGTGAAAAGTATCCGAGAAAACCGCACGCGAAATTTTGCTAAATCGATTTAGACGTGCCATGGAAACGTAGTTATTGACACCGGTGTCTCGCGCAGGTCCATCCGACGCGAGAAGGCGTTCCAAGCCGAGCAGATGGCCATGATCGCGGACGCACGGCGCTTCGATCCCCGCCAGTACATGGACGAAATCATAGAGAAGAGCTCCACACTACCGATGGCCACGAAACGGCACGGCAAGCGGCTGCCCTATTTCATCCGGCTGGAGATGGAGAAGGATAATCTGATTAAGCCACCCAAGTAACGGTTTGTGCGGGATAGTGGGGCGGGGTCGTGTGAATTGTGAAATATGAACTGTGTTTGCTTGTTGATCTGGTGTTTGTCGGGATAGAAATACCTTACGCGCGTCGCCGGAGAAAGCTCGGCTGAATAAGTGGCCCGATGGATTTGATACGAGTAACCCAGTCGAGCACAGCGTATACTGGCACCCCAGTGGGTGAGTTGGAGGGTATTTTGGACCCTTGGGATCGGAGAGTCGACCGATGGCAAGAACTGTGCCTGGGCTGTCTTGTAGCACACGATTCACCCCATTAGACACTATTCACGTTATTAACCGCGCTGCGAACCACGCCAGGTAGGCGGGGGGGGGGGGGATGACATATCTTTTTCGTCGCGCAAAACAGAACTGTTTAATCAACTTTGATTAAACATCGGTAATTACTCGTCAGTTGAGAAACGAAGCGATACGAGATGAATGCAGGTCGAGCGGTATCAGTCACAGGTGTCACACTTCCACCACAGCGACTTGTCGCCCAGTCACCACCCTGTCAACACATATCCAGTAGTCATTTACGGTATATTGATATACAAGCCGGCCCAAGGCCCCATCTGCTCTACAACGTCGTACAAACGCTGGTGTAGGCACTAGGCAGGTACAAAAATAAGCCTCTGAAAACGCTTCGGGGACGGATGACTGCTTTGAAGAAACACCATGATAGATGTGCGACGCGCGAATCAGGATATCAAACAGGATATTCTACGTTGCATGTAACGCAAACATGGTATGATATGACCTTTCACTGTCCTATAGTAGTGTCCTTTGAAATAAGATTTCAACCAGTCGCTTCAGCAACAACAAACATTATCACACACTAATAAACCGCCTAGTTAGACCGATCAGCAAAAGAAAGGATACGGTGCCGACTTAATCAGATCCATCGAAAATTACGCTAGACCGAAACAGGATAAAAAGTTACAACACTAATACACCACTTATCAATAAAACGCCACAGTAAATATACGCTGATGTGCGAAGCGACAGAAATTGTTATTTTCCAAGGGTGATCAAGCTTTACTCTATAGAAATACGTCGAATGCAGACCCTAACTATCTGCTACAAATGCATCAACACTGTCTATTCTAAAAGAGTCGATAGCCTACATGAATCGTTATGCTTATGACATCCTAACCCGACACAGACGTCCTCATCAAGCACTTCAACGCACAAATGTACCCATACATTATCCACCCACACATCGATGGTTATGCATCTACTTTGACATGTTTTCGAAATAGATGCATGATTTTTCTCACAGTGGAATGGCAGGTAAAAACCCCGACTTCATAAAATTGACAGATCTTGCGATCACAATATAATGGACGGATTAGGAGATTCAAAAGCCAGGTAGGCGGTCTCTTCGTATAAAAAATCGCCGACACTTCTTACAATACAACGCCAACCAGCCCATGGAATGACAGAACGGGGCCTCTCCGATCAGGTGAAACGACTGAGGGTGAGCTGTGGACCGGTGTGTACCGTGATGCTCACATTTCAATTTCATACGAGTAGATACCGTTGACTTTCGTGACACCCCGGAAAATCCTCATCCGACCGCCACGGACAGGGCCGGGTGACCGCCGATGAGGGGCGGGGTCCTCGTGGGGCAGAAGCGGGCGGGTTGGTTGTACTCCCAGACGCCGGAAATGCGCCAGACGACGCTCCCCGACGCCGGAGATGCGCCAGGCGACGCTCACAGACGCCGGAGGTGTGCGAGCGCCAGCAGCAGCAGGGCGGCGCCAGTCAGCAGTGGGAACGCGCGGTGCGGCGAGGCGCCGTCCTGGAACAGACCGAAGAAGGGTCACCGTCAGCGGTCGGGTGCATCGGGAGTGCGGACAGTGTCACGCCCTCGTGACAAAGTCAGAAAAGAATGGGACACAGCTGCTAATGAGAAGCATCCTACGGTGATTTGATTTACATCACTGAAAGAACCACTCGCCGACAGAAGCAGAGTGGCGCAGTGGAAGCGTGCTGGGCCCATAACCCAGAGGTCCGTGGATCGAAACCACGCTCTGCTACATTTTCGCCGCTGACGTTCAATAGGTAAACACGGGGTCACGCGGCAGTATAGTACGCAATTACACCTAATCTTCTTCGACTTTCGACTTTTCGTCGAAATTCACATTTCTACACGCATTTTGTAGGAAAGATTCGCCGAAGAGCTCTCAAGAACCCCTATTACCCTCCTTTGTTTTCCCACTGCGCCCAAAACATATATGGGATGGGCCTAGCCTTTGGCTTTTACTCTTTTCCACGGTCCAATCGAGGTGTCGCCACCTTGATCACGAGGTGTTTACACGATCTGCACTGCATGGGCCGTCATCCGTCGGTCCCACTAATGGTAAAGCACTAGTGCTGCAGCAGTCACCCTTACGACAGGAAATGTAGCACTTACGGCGGTCCCACTTACGATATTAGTAGTTGCAGCTGTCGCCCTTACGATGGGTAATGCAGCTACAGCGGTACTTACGATAATATAGTAGTTGCAGCGGTCGCCCTTGCAGCAAGACGTGCAACGCCAATCCTCGTACGAGATGCGCGTGCATAGTGGCAGGTTTTTCAGCCGCATCTCCTCGCAGTAGTCATCGGTGGCGCACTGTTTGGACACGAACAGCATCATGGGCACTCCGAGTCGCCAGCCGGGGGTGCCTGGCGGAGAGGTGGGCACAAGGTGTCAGAGAGCAAAGGCCAGCCACTGGGCAGGTCGCACTGAACTAAGGGCGGTATTGCAACGTACTGTAAAAAATACGTTTTGGTGTAGTAGCAGTGACCGACGCTGGTAAGCGTAGCTCAGTCGCATGAGTCGACTGAGCTCAGTCTCAGTCGCATGACGCTTACTCGCATGACGGTCGCAGTCGCATCGCGGGTCGCATGTCGCCTAACATTTGAGCTAAACTGGAAAATAGAGCATTGAAGGTTTCAGCTCTTAGCAGATTAGATCTGCTTGGCGTGGATCTTGACATTAAGAGATCCACGATTATATAAAACTAAACAATAAAAATACGGCTGCCTCAAAGTAAACGACAAAGTAGCAAAAACAGGTCTGTATACTGTATAGTACCCACTACCCAGATAACGATCGTTTTAGCAATCGTTATAAAATACCGCCGTTTCCGCGCTCTGATACTCACTTCCCCAGCTGACAGTGGTCATGCAGCTCTGCTCCTCGTATTCGCAGAGCGCCACCGTCTCCGTGCACTTGCCGCCGTTCCCCGCCTGGCCGACGCACACGTAACACTCGTGTGCCGACGCTGCAACAAAAAGACACACAGTAGTCAAATGAGTCACTGCCTGCCTTCATAGGATAACAGTAAACACTGAGTTTATTGAGAAATGGTGATTGTAACAAGTGATAGGCAGATTTTTAACATCAAAACAAGTCAAAGACAACCGATATGAATCCCATTGAAGACATATTTGCAAAACAAGGGCTAAAATTCACCAAGAATTCAGCTTACCTGAGTGGAGGGAAAAGAGCACCAGCACTGCTGCAGCTGACCAATGCCACTGGAGCTCCATATTATTCCTGAAACCAAGTGGAGCTCAAATTACCGAGGCTAAACATCAAGTAGATAGAAAGCTACATTCACCAATATTTTTTGACAGGAGGGACCCTCCCACCTTCAAAAAAGTTTATGAATTGGCATGAAAGTGATGTCGCTCGGTTCAGAAAGAGTGAAAACGAATATCTACCAAATTTCACCGAAAAATATTCACCGGTTTTCAAGATATTAGACTTTTACTTTTGTTTACTTTTTGGGATCTCCGCTGTTTCTAGCGACTTTATTTTAGAAGTGCGGCGTTTGTGGCAGATGTTGCGCGCAAATATCATATACCACCGCGTGCTACAAAACGTTTTAGTCAAACATTTAAAAATCGTTAGATATTTGCGCTGACGTCACACATTCAGAGGGGTATTCCTAAGCATTAGCCCCTCTGAATCAAAATGCTGCAATTTTGAAATTCAATATTTCCGATTTAAGGCATTTCTCGATGTTGTGAGTGCCGAAACCGGTAATTGTGAGCCAGGGACCCCATTTTGGCTATCTCAACTCAAATCTAATGTTAAGGTGGGAGGGTCCCTTTAATGACTGATTATAGTGGATTTGTGGAATTATGAGCAATGCCTAAGCCTGAGTCAGAATGTCTCCTTTGCAGCCATTATGTCCTGGTAGGTTAAGGTAGGTATCACTTTGAGTTTATGGTCATTGGTATGGTCACTCATCATCTCATGTCATTTGATTGAGTTAGTTCACAACAAACTCCTAGTAAGAAATGCTGTGCCACATCATGATCCACACAATTTTTACTTGTGTAACAAACAACAAGCTAATAACAGGTAGGTAGCCAGATAAGTGTTCAAATAAAAACTATGAACAGCTGTGTTTCATTCTGGAACCACCTTTGAGCTGAAAAGGTGGGTAGGATTGTGAATAATCAAATTTAGGATGCAATATTCTGAACTTTAACATTATCATTCAGAAAGATGGTATTTGATGACATAGGGGGCAGCGGGCATATCATCCCCTTATTATAATTACCAACCCCATATTCTTAATGGAATATGTATTTTAAGGAAGTTAAAGCAAAGTTTAATATTCTAGGCAAACATTTTTTGCCTTAGTTTTCTAAATATTTCTGAAAAAAACAGCAAACTCATCAAGTTTGGGTGCTTTACTTTGGGTGCTCAAATAAGTGAAGGTTTCTTGAATCATCTGGCCACATCTGGCCCATCTGAATTCCATGCTTAGTTCAGGTGTGATGCCAGGTCTAAGGGAGGGGCCAGGGGACATTTTAATTTTGGGCACTTGCCACTCCCATGCAACAATGCTTGCAATTAGCAAAATATATTTTTCAAGACCAGCCATTGAATGAATAGAGCAGTTCACCCTTCATTTGATGTCACCCACCTGTAACATTCTTCATTCAACATTAAAAGAAATATGCCTACCACTTTAAACTTCCGGCTCTGAACTGGAAAAGCAGTTTTATAGCTTAAGCTAAGACAAGCACCATTCTGAACCTTTAACAC